TTTATAATTTTTCTGAACGAAACATGATTTAATTCCAAAGAAAATGTGGATTAAATATTATATACAAAAATATGGGCTTCTCATAATCAGAAATAATATTTTTTATAGCAGTTAAATGTATTAAAGTTAATTGCAACAAAATGACTGAACAGCTTATTTCGAATTGTTTTTTTTATTTTCAGCATCAAATCTAAAGTTAATGTTAATATTGACTCCTAATTTCTTAAATTTAATATTTTTCGCATGGGCCTACTATAATTCTGGGCTCCGCTGTATCGGTTGGTTTTATATCTGGGAAAGCCGTAGAAATTATGTTGCGTGACGTTTCATTTCGCACAAAGGCTGTAATTGGGCCTGTTACCCCCGCCCCCTGCTCAAAAGTCGGCTAAGTATATTGGCCTAAAAAAACCGTTGTGCATTGTGACCAACTAATGACCAAACAGGCTGCAAAGTCCAAAAACCAAGCCATCGAACCTCGATCACTTGTCGGTTTTCGGTTAACTTGGCTTCGTTTCAATTTTGGTTACTTTTTCAGGTTTTTTTTTTTTTTTTGTATTTACAAACACACAGGTGAAATGCAAGACGAGGTCACAACTGTGATTTGGTAATTTTCTTGGAGAGAAACACAAAATCACAAATTACCAAATCGACCCAAGTAATTGTCGTTAACGATATTTCTTTTCCCGGAATACTTGCAAAAAAAATAGAGAAAAAGAAGAAGAAAGATAACGAAGATTGTGAAAGCTTTTTTTTTGATTTTTGAGGAAGTTTGCTAATCGCCATCGATGATGAGACAATATTTGCACTTCCTTTAAGACTTTTGCCGACTGTTTGCTTTGGACAAACGAATCGCCGAAAAATGAACAAATTAGTTTTCGGGTTTTTCAATTTACGAATATGTAGAGATGGTTTTTTTTTTTTTTGTAATTTTTGTAAGGCCTTCGACTTGACTTCCAAGCTGCAATTGTTGTCATGGCAAGTGCATTTCAGGGCAACCTTCAACCTGCCAATCGAGTTCAGCCAAGCGGAGCTGCCACCAAACTATTGCATTTGCAATTGCAATGGTTACAGCAACGACAGCGGCAAAAATGTATCCAACAACAGCCACAAAACGGCTAAAAAAAAAAGAAAAAAACAAAAGGTAACACGGCCACAATTTATTAGCCATTGATCTTGGCCGAGGATTGGTAGCTCCAGATACGAAACCAGTGCACAGTGGTCGGTCCCATAGGCCAAAAATCAAAAAATCAATTTTGGAATTTTGATTTCAAGTTTGGCGCATCTGTTTATCAATAGAACAAGGCTTTAAAAGCAAGTATTAGTTTTGTCTTGCTCCAAATATTTGCGGAGAAATTGGGGCGCAAAGTGAACGCGCAAACCCAGCGATCGACTGAAAGCGTGCGCCTGTCTTTTGAAAGCGTTAAGTTAATAATTAAAAAAATATATAAAACAATCGTTTAATATCCGAAAGTGAAATGAATATTAAAGTTGAAGGTTTGTAGATTGTGTTTTTATAATTTTTATTAATTTTGCATGCTATATGTGACTGTGACAATAATTGTTTATCCACCGCAATTTTACAAGTTCTGCAGAACTAAACATCAATATTCTGCAAGGGTAAAAGTTGTGTTCCCAAAACTTCTCAATAATGAAATTTTTTTTAAAATGTTAATCAATATTTAATTAGTATTATCTGTAAAAATCAGCTGCGAATAGCTGCGAATCCGTTCAGAATCTGTTAAAGAAGACGAGTACCTCGTTCCTTTTTCATCAGTTTTTGATTTTCTAGAGTAACCATTTCTAATATATATTGAAAAATTTATTTTTTATTACTTTTATTTTACTTTAAATTTATGTTAATCATCGTTTTTTGTTATCTTTTGTTAATTTTTTAACCAAAATAAAGTGTTTAATAAATATAATTTTTGTCAGTTACGCTTAAAAAAAATTGTAGTATGCATTTGGGAGTCAAATTTTAAACATTTTATGGTAAACACGATGGTAGCGGATATATTTGGCTTTAATGGTGCTGATACTTAAAATATAACATTCATACGCTATTATATACCTACAAAAAAAATTTCAACTCGATATTCCTACTGGAAGTATTTTTGGCCGCCTTCTCCATATAAGACCGACCACTGTGCAGTGCTGAAAATTATGTCCGAAGCGTTTAAATAACAATTTCCAGCCAGTGTATACTCGTACGTACGAGTCCGGTTTACGGAGCTGGCCAGCAGGAAAAACTATGGCCCTGGCCCCGCTAATGTGTGGCAAGCCAGCACACAATATGTGGAGACATTGACATAGATGCCAGCCGAAGTCTCTGGGCCTTCCTCCCGAAACCCGAAAACCGAAGCCCGGGGGAATTACGGAGCGGGTGGTACGCATGCGCAAAACCCACTTTTACGAGCCATTTTATGGAGTTGAAAATGGGGGAAAAAAACTTGTAAAGGTGATGGGGGGAAAACGGAGAAAGATTGACAAACATTTTCGGCCTAGTGCTGAAATAAGATATGATTTAAAACAGTTTAATATTTATTTAATATAAAAATAGTTATCGGATTTCTCGTTAATCAACAATCAATATTCGGTATAATTAAATTCATTCATCAAAAATAAACACATTTAAGGTAGAAAATAATCGCATTATATATGAGAATGGTCAAGACTTTAAAGAGCTACATAAAAAATGACGAAAATTACTTTCGCTAAAGAAAAACCACTTACTGGGATTCAATAATCCAAGGCATTTCCTCTGCTGAAAATGCAGAGGCAGGCCCTCTAATCATTGTAGTTAGTGAGGTAACTGAGATATTTAACTGTTCGTTAATTAAAAAAGAAATTAAGACGAACTTCCGAAACGCCGTTGGCCTTTCTCCCCAAAGGTAAAACTCAAGCTGCGAGGAAAATGTTTCCGCATGCGGGGAAAATGCATTTTCTTTTATCGCCATTACCCGCCTCTTTGTCTCAACGATTTTCCCTTGGTTGCCATGAACTTGAACCGTTGTTAAGAGTGGCTTTCAATGAATGTGCCCACTTTCCGGACACTTTGGCCCATGGTGCAACCAGTGAAATAATAATAAAAAAAAAAAGAAACTCAAACACTTTTATTTCGTATTTTTTTTTCGGCTCTCTTTCTCTTTTTCTTGTGTTTTGCGTTAATTGATTACATAACCAGCATCTGGAGAGTGGTTTTAGCTTGGCCAAGTCAGTTGGTCAGTGGTGTTTTCGGTCTCAAGTTGCTGGAATCGATAGGATTGCTTTTTGGGTGGTGCGGCAACTTGTCGCAACCAGCAAAAAAAAAAAAAACACAACCAAAAACCAAAAAAAAAAAAAAAAGAGAAAAACCAAAAGCCAAATAACCGAAAAACCGAAAATAAAACAAGTCCCACAACATTTATTAATAATTCGAGCTTTAGCTGTCGGCCAGTCTCACTTTCGACTGCAAATACTGCCCGACGATCTAATTCGATCTGGTCGTGCAATTGAATCGTTCCGTTATTCAATACCAAACCCCCTGACATAATGACCAACAAAATACACAGAAAACCCAAAAAAAAAAAAAACAAAACCGAAAAACCCGAATAAAAACAAAAAGGAAAACCAATTTGACCAAATGGGGAAAAATTCGGCGAAACACTAAGCGAAAAAAACCGCCCAACAGGCCAAAAATTTGATTGAGTTGCTGCTGTCTTTTCGATGTTGCTGTTGCAGTTGTTGTTGCTGTTGTTGTTGCATGTTGCTGCCGTACATGTTGCTGCTGCTGCTGCACTGGCAAGAACTAATTGCGACCTTGGCGATCACTGGCATCGTGCACCGTGCACTCATGTAGATTGTGTGCTTACGGGCAAATTCGTCAATTCGCGATCTCCAAAGTGTCTATAAAGCCCATGCATACGAATATATCTCCTCCGATCGCCAAATCGGCGAACGGCACGTTCACACATACATAAAAATAAAAAAAAAAACACACGCCAGACGGTGGTTTTATTTTTCGATTGAATCAGTCGCGAACAAGATCAGTCTCTCGGATGGAAAATATGTCTGTGGAAATTGCGATATCTTGGGGGGAAGTGAATGGCCATCTCATCACGTATCCAATCTTTGTTTGTCATCCAAAAAGATAACCCATCCGTGTCTGCCTTCATTTGGCGAATTAAAATGGCTTATCTGTCTTCGCTTTTGATATAGCTTTCATTTTTTATTCATTATAATAAAAATAACACTTTCATGGCCAAAGAGAGACTTGTTTTAAAATTATAAGTTTTTCAATATTAATATAAATAAATTTAAATCCAGCCACAAGCTTACATTCTTTGCAGCGTTTTTCATTTTCTGCTTAAATCTTTTGGTCTTGCTAAATTGATTTCTGTGGGCAGCAATTTTCGATTGAGAACATTCAAGGTGGTGGTTTTAGGTAATTGAATGTAATTTTTTTTTAGCTTGAGTAAAAAAAATAGAATTTTGGGCTTAAAGCATTTTTTTACATTTTTATCGTGAAAACGGAAGAGGAAATTACAAAGATACTATCAAATAATTTAAGAAAAATCTATAACCATTGACAGCTTAGCTCTCAAATGCAATTAAACTATTGGTTATATTATGAAATACTAACATCCCAGGTAAAGGTCAGTGCTAATTTAATTTCCTCTTTTGGGTATTAGCAAATATTCACAAAATTGGTACCAAGAACATAGAGTTATAGTGCTTTTAAAAAAGACTTAAACGTGGGTTCAGAATGTATTATGTAGGGTTATGGGCACACACAGTTTTATGACTAGATCTTTAATTGTTTAAGCAGTTGCAAATACGCAAAAAATATTTGGCCATAAAGTGCTCTTAAGGGGGTCAAAACGTTTTAAAAAATGTTAAAAATATAACATAAAAAAATAACTATAATTGCTTATAAAATTTTAGTTTTAAAAGTATTTTTTATGATTGGTCGAAGAAGTGTTTGTATTGGGGGACAGGATAAGTAAAATATATTTGGAACTTACTTTTGACAGCCCACATCTTGGCATCTCGGAGTCCGGCGAGGTAGCTCCGCATGTCCCGGGTGCAGTTGGCGGACACTCCGCCGGAGATCTCCACGCTGCCCCACTGGGCGGCCAGGACGGCGAGATCGAAGACGTTGAGGGCGTCCCTCAGGCGGCGGGTGTGCGACAGGTCGAAGGTCAGCGTGGGGTCGCCGTGGGGGATATCCGTAATACTCAGGTTAATCACATTGTGCTGATCCGCAGATCCGGAGCTCAGGTTCTGCCTGCCCGCCGGAAACTTGCCCTCGTCCTTGTCGATGGCCGCTTGGGGCGTTGCCAGCAGCGAGAAAAGCGCCGCCAGCGCCAAAGTCCTCCGCATCATATCGCTTGGTAGTGCCCAATAGACGATATATACAAATTGGCTGGGCACGTTCCTTGGCGATGTCTTTATCTTTTTTTCTGCCTGCTTCACTTTCACTCCGCACGATAACAAAAAAAAAAACAATAATAAAATCCAATTTGGGTTAACAGCGAATTATTTATATATTTTGCACCAGCATTTTCACAACCAAAAAAAAGATGATAAACACTCGACAGCAGAACCGTTAGAACTCGGTGTTGTTAATTTTTTTTTTTTTTTTTGCACTTCTTTTATTTTTTGCAGAAGATGGGGGTTTGTATTAAAAACACACGCGCGGCTTTTTATAATATTTGGGTTTTGTGTATTTTTGGGGAGCGACGACGACCGCTTGGCATGAACGCACATCTACGAATCGCGACTGCGCGTCTTGAGCAGCTGTAAAAATATGTTAACAATTCCAAAAACGCAGGCCCCAAAAAAAGAAGGAAAAAATCTCAGCTCAGACTCTAGCTCGATCTCTCTCGCTTTTAGGGGGGGCTCTCTCTCTCCCGATCGCCGTCGCTTGAAAGCGCAAGTGAGTTGTACTTGTACCGTTAGCCCCACTTTCGTTGGGAGAGCTGCTCCCGCTCTCGCTCTCACTCGCTCTCTCTTGGAAAAAAGCAAAAGCCCTGCGTCATCGACTATGTGGTAATATCTTGCAGTGTGTGCGTCTGTGTGGGCATTATGTTATGGAATTTCGCGCGAGTGTGAGTGTTGCAAAAGTGGCCGCAAAAATGAAATTAGCCATTGATATTTGAATACGCGACGAGGTCTAGAGGCAATCGCAATCACTATAGCCACTATAACCATATAGCCAGCGGTCCGAAATTCCAGCCAAGTCGGTCAAATCAGTTAAGCCAAGTCGCTGAAATGAGCTAAATGGATTCGCACTCAGGCAAGATGGCCAAAATAACATTTTCGAACGTCTTACACAGGCCCTTTGTAAACCCACTTTGGGATCATATTAATTCGTTTCTTCGTAACAAAGGTTTTTTGCATATTCAACTCCTTACATATGCATAGAGGTCTCAAACAAATAATAATAAGAGGTGGTTTTCAAGACGTCTTTTCATTATCATAACGATATTTTATCTTCAAGTATTTTTGAGAACTGAAAAATGTTGGCTAAAATTTATAGTTATTGACCTTTTCCAGGTTAGGGTATTCAGAGATCCCTGCAAAATTACGGAAATACTTGCGCGCCTTGACGATTTAAAGTTAATGTATGAAATTGGAAATTTTTAGCACATGAATGAATTATAAATGATTCACCTAAAGGTGAATAACTCAAGTGGGTTATTCAGTAAATGAACTTAATTTCGTGGAAAAGAAGACAAAAACTAAACTAAATTAAAAACATACATTTATGCATTCGAAAATACATTAAGGAGCATTTGTGTATTTTAATTTACATTTACATTTAAAAGTATGGCACTATATACAAAGATAAGACAAATTTGAAAATTAAATAGTGGTTTCGCAATGTGAATAGTTAAATTTTTAGTCAAACATAGATATTATATGTACCATTAAAAATATGTAATATGTTTAAAATTCCCCTTAATTACTGAAGTTAAAAAAGTTTCGTAGATACTTTTGTTTTACACGCATATCATTTTTTATATCTCTTGTTTTTACCACTTGCATTCAAAGTCCAGGTTTCCAGTTGAAAAAGCAGGAATGGGAATGCAGGAATGCGAACGAAAATGTCGCAAGAGATGGAACAATTGTTGTTGTTTCTCTGGTGACCTGTTTACAAGCACACGCATACAATAAACCAGAAAGAGAGAGGGAGTGAGAGATTGTGGCACCTGGCGCAGATTCCCCCATTCTCCCCACCAAAAAAAAAGAAGTTGTAAATTACGTCTATTTGGTTCCCCAACTATATATTGCCATGTATTGTGCAATTGCCCAAACAACGGGGCTCGTGCAATGCTTTTCAATTTTCAATTTTCCACAAAAGCCAAATAAAAAGTTGGGAACAGACAGAGACAGCTTGATGCTGCATTTACCGTTAGCAAATGGAAACCAGTTCTGGGAAAAAAAACACAAATGGAGAAGCAGAAACTCTGCCAAAAATTAAATGTTAAGTGGCAAAGTGAAACAAAAATGCAATTTGTGCATTTTCAAAGCAAAGAAAAAAACAGAAGCCTGCAGAAGATCTTGCAACGGTAAACTGGTTTGTAGGGCAAAAGCCAAACAAAAACCATACAACAAAAAAAACTGCATCCAGAAGATGGGAGCAAAAGGATTGAAAAAGGGGGGCAAAGAGCAAGAGAAATAAGGAGAAAGAGCGAGACGAAGCGATAGGCATGAATGAAGATGCAAATGAAACCTCAAAATATTTAAGGTTAGCCTTAATTTTTTAGGTGCACTTAAAAAAAAATTTACAAAAGAGTCCGAAAATATAAACCAATTTAATATTAACCGAAAACCGATGTACAACTAATAATCTTTTCAGATTATATTTTTTTTCGATAATTGTTGTTATTACAATAAATGTATCTCACAAGATAGTGTTTTTAAAACCTGCAGAGAGTCTGAAACTCTGCGTTTTTTGGACAGTGTAAGGGTCTGGGTCTGACTGACCGTCAGTCATTCACGCGGTCGGTTGGTACACGTAAGGTCTGTCAGCGCATGAAAACCTGTCGCCTCACCTGCCCGATTCCCCGCCCAACGGGGTCGAGCTCATATCTTAATGAGAAAAGTGAAAGTGTCAAGAAATAAGCAAAGCGACGGCCATCAGGGGTTCAGTTAACAGTGAATAAATAAAAACGCGCCACTAAGCCAAGCCGAGAGATACGAAATTCAGTCAGAAATCAGAAATCCGGCCAAGTTATTAATTAGCTGGCCGATAACCAAATTGAACCCAATATCTGACTCTGGGAATTGTCGCAAATTCCCAGTCGATCTTTTCTTTGATTGATCGAAGGTGACCCCGAATTAAGCCCTCAAATCAGATCAAAATTAGAGGTTATTACATGTTAGGTAGCCAAATAAATAAATAACTCATTAACTGAGGGCTTACAATTGTGTTAATATAGCCCATGTTTTACAGTTTCCCCAGTGAAACATTTGATTTAGGTCATATTAAACATGGCTTTGATAAACAACTTTGTCGAATGTTTAGCGATTTCTATGGGAAACATATTAATTAATTAATAATTTATGATCCAAAACATTTGTCAATAAAACCTTGAAAAAAATTGCAAATGAAGGTGGAAATTGTGGGAAAGAGCCAATTATGTATTTCTGTTATTCTCTCCTTTAAAAAAATTTAAATGGTCGGATTTTTTGGCTGTAACATTTGAATGTACTATTAAGAAAAAAATAAGAAAATTTGTTTGTAAAGCTTTGTGGGATGTTCACTTAAGGCTTAATATAATGATTTTCTGCTAACTTTTTAATCAAACTTTTAATTTGTTAGGTAAGAACTGATCTCTCTGAAGTTAATTTCGTAGTTTATGTGTAATAGATTTACAGAGTATGGAGACTATCTAGACAATCGGTTTTGACACTTCAAAAATCGTTCGACCAAATATTTAGTTGCACAAATTTTCACATTTTTTGGATCACTTGTGGAGCATTGTTGTTGGGTTTGTTTTGTGTTGTTTTTTTAATGCCATTGTTGATGCTCTCGGCGGTTACTGTTGATGTTAATTGTTTGTTGCTGTTTACGCTTGCGTCACGCCTGAAACTTTGACCATGAACGCATTTCTTGGCAAGGAAAAACGCACGAAAGATCGCACGGATGAAATTGAACCGAATGTGGTTGAATGTCGGTCGTAACTTCTTTCCCCATCTGCCGTTTTATTTCATTTTTATAATTACTTCATTTGCAATCTCTCGTGTGGCAATAGAAGAAACTACCGTTAATTAAAAACGCAAACGCACGGCCAAATGAGCGCAGGAGAGTGTACACTGAGAGAAAGGCGCATTTATTTCACAATGGAAAAAGTGCCTAAATCGTATTTTTTAATTTAAAAAGTGGCAAAGAAATCCTATATTTGTTAAATTTTAGAGTAAATACAAATAGTTTAAGTGAAAATTATACATTTTTTTAAGTGGAAACTAGGAATTGAAATGCATCCAAACATTTTTTTTCTCACTGTGAAAATGGCTACAAAGTGTGACATTTTTCTCTGTGTAAAGAAGAGAGAGGCTCGCTGTTGTAACAGCGGCGCCAAAATATTTTCACTCGACTTTTGCGGCTATGTTTTTATGGCCCCGCGAAGTTCACCGGGGAACTCAGATCGCAGATCGAGGGAAAAATGGGGGCCGTGAATCGTTATGCAATGAGGAGAAAATTGACAATAAGACAAAGCGCAAAATACAAACAAAACCGCGTGAGAGACTGCGACACAAAAACTGCAATGTCACTTACCCATTATTAATGCCCCCGGTATCTGCCTGTATTATGGGGGTATTTTTTGGGCCAGCCGATGGCGCAGGGGGCGTGGCAGCCCAGTCAGAGACGCCTCACGTCACCGGACGGACAGATTTACGGACGGACAGGGCCGAAAAAAAAACTGTGCCACGGTAATTGAAACTGAAACCATAAACGAAAACTGAAATGCGTGTGGAGGCTGCGACGAAATGTGGGATGCATATACATAGTTTATATGCACATTTAAACACATACACAAATAGCTAAAAATATTTAAATTAAAAAAACATGTGTTCTTAAAAATGCAATACCACATTTTAATTAATAGCAGAGCAAACGACAGCTTTTTCAAAGGATTTTGGGTAAGATTTTCATAATGTTTTTAAACAAAAAAAACAATTATTAAATTTTTGTTCCACAATCACCGGTTAAATCTTTCGTGTTTTAATTTTAAAAGGAAACTAATAAACTAACCAGTGGCGTAGCGTGCCTTGTCGGGGCCCCGTATAACAAATTTTTTGGGGGCCCTTATATGGAGGTAAAGATTTTTCACAAAAGAAAACAAGAAAGGAAGCTAGCTTCGGCAAACCGAAGCTTTTATACCTTTGCAGTCATATGTCGAAAAAAATACATAACGGCTAAAGAACATCGAAGCTAAGACGATTTTTCTATTCATTTTCTATATTTTCGACTATTGTTCAAATGACGGCTATATGATATACTCGTCCGATTTTGATGAAATTTAATTCGGTATTCAAGATTCGTTAGAAAACTCTATATTCCAAAAATCATGGTTGTCTGATGAAAAACAACGATGTTACAATTTTATTTCCGTTATTTCTATATAGATTTTTCGATCTTTCCTATGGCAGCTATAAGATATAGTTGTCCAATTTTTATGAAACTTTTTTCTCAGTATAAGAGTTGTTAAAAAACTTGATATTCAAAAAATCATGCTCGTGGGATAAAAAACAACGATATTATAAATTTATTTCCATTAATTCTATATATATTTTTCGATCGCTCCTATGACAGCTATATGATAGAGTTATCCGATTTTGATCAAATTTAATCCGAAATTCAAAAACAGTTAGAAAACGCCATCTTGAAGAAATCAAGTCGATCTGATCAAAAACAACGGTCTGAGAATTTTTTATTTCCTTCTCTCGTATGGGAGCTATCCGATACAGTCGGCCGATCCGGCCCGTTTTGACGTATATACTGCGTGCAATAACTACACACCTTTTGGAAAAGTTTCAGCAAGATAGCTTTAAAACTGAGAGACTAGTTTACATAGAAACAGACAGACGGACAGACGTATTCTGATTCTACTCGTGATGCTGATCAAGAATATATATACTTTATGGGGTCTGAGGTGTCTCCTTCACTGCGTTGCAAACTTCTGACAGAAATTATAATACCCTTTTGCTCTGCAAGGGTATACAAAATATTGTGAGAAGAAATATTTATTTATCACATTATTTACCCATTTTACAAATAAAAATCAAATTTTAAATATTCACTCTTACACTCTTTGGGGGCCCCCTTGGCCCGGGGGCCCCGTATAATTGATACGGCATATACGGCGGTAGCTACGCCCCTGAAACTAACAAACTTTGCAAGGGTATAATTTTAATTTGCAAATAAAACACAACATAATAAATTCATTTTCCGCTGAAAAGTATGCTTAATCTCATCGTGTAGATGTAGAAACATCTGTATATCTGATGTATCAGAAAAATTCAAAACTTTTAAACAAAAAATGTCATTCGATGAAAAAAAAGTTTTAAAAAGCATTATAACATTTAATTACCCAATAATGCCGTTTTATAATTTAATTAATTAAAATTGCATTACCTTTAAATTTGTTATTCAAAAATCTCACTGAAAATATGCATCACATTTCAACCTTTGAACAACCAAAAAAATTTGTGAAGAAAAATGTTTTGAACTAAAACAAGTCATAAATTAAGCAATGATTAAATCACTGTAAAACAATAAACCCGAATAATTCAATATAGATCCAGGAAAACAACTTGCCAGTTAAAATTTTACTCACTCACATCGATTTATTGGTTACAGTCTGCTAAAGCCGTTCGATATGTTTGTGCTGTTTTTTTCGTCAGATCTAAGTGCCTTCGAGCGTGTATATCTTAGATATATAAATATATATAGTTGTTATTGGTATATGGTTATACAAAAAAGACGCCTAGCAAAACAAAAGTCCATATAAAAGGACGATACACGTATACAATACACTAAAACAGTTAACGTCCTTTTTCGATTACCCAATTCAATTTGGTAGCACTAGTTTCGGTATTTGGAAGCCACTTCTTACATACTGCAACTGGGAAACGTCGATCGCATATATATGTAGAATATATACGCGCTCATATCGGAATTATCACAAATGCTTATAAACTAACTAAAATAGCGAATAGTTTCTTTCTATCTTTCTTGCTTGCTTCAAGCTTCAAGCTTCAGGCGCGTGGGGATCGTGAGATGCGTGCGGTTGGCGGTGCCTTCGACCAGCTTTGCTCCTCGGCGCTGGCGAAGATCAGGTAGATGAAGTTACCGGCGATGTTCAAGCCCGCCGCCAGCCAAAAGACCAGATGCCACTGGGTCAGCGTTTCGCGGTGATTGATTATCAACCCGATGACATACGGTGCCAGAAATCCGCAAATATTTGCCGCCGAATTGGTAATTCCATACATGGTGCCAGCATACTTGGGACTCAAGGCTATGTGGTTCATCTGGTTGCCGGCGTAGACGGCTCCGCCAAAAGATCCCACGCCGGCCAGCATGAAGGTGACCCACACCCAATCGCAGCCCACATAGATGATGCCGATCAGTCCCAGCGACGGAATCACCGAGCCCACCGTGTTCCACATCTTGTAGGAGGTCAGCAGGGATATGTATCGCCTGGCGAGCATCCAATCCGCCAGAGTGGAGCAGGCGATGCCCACGAACCAGGCGGTCAGGTAGGGAATGGCATTTAGCAGCGCATTCGATTGGATGTCGAAGTGGAGGATGTTGCTCATGTAGGTGGGCAGTTCAGTCAACTGTGTGTAGAAGGCCCAACCTTGGCCACATTGGGTTATTAGGATGGCCCACAGGGGCACCGATGTGAGCAGCTTTGTCCAGGGTATTGGATCGTCCTGCGGTCGCCTCAGATTCACCTCGTCCCCCTCGCCTCCATCCTCCTCCGGCTCTGCCAAGTCCTCCTCGCCGATCATCAGCCGCTGGGTCAGCAGACTCCTCTCGATGTACTCCCGCTCCGAACTGGAGATCCGCGGATGATCGCTGGGCTTGTCGTACACCAGATACATCCAGGCCATGAACCACAAGATGCCCAGCAGTCCGAAGATGTAGAACGCCGATGGCCAGCCGCCCAGGAAGTCCAGGGAGCACAGCCAACCCGCCAGCGGCATCGATATCACTGTTCCGATATTGGAACCCGCATAGACGACGGCCGCGAACTTATTCCTCTCCAGCGGCGGTATCCACTGGGCCAGCATGGCGTGCATGGCCGGATAGGTGACACCCTCGCCCATTCCCTCCAGGATGCGGACCAGAACCAGGAGCGGCAGATCCCAATGGGCAGCCAGCGGGGTTAGAAGTGTGAAGATTGCCGTGATCAGTACTCCATAGCCGTAGATCTTCTTGCCGCCGTACAACTCGGCCATTCGTCCGCCGGGCACTTGGGTCAGCACATAGCCGTAGAAGAAGCTGCCGAGGACCAATCCCTGCGTGGCCTCGTCCCAAACGAAGTCGCCCTCCCTCTGCGGATTCGGATCGGTGCCGTTGTGATTTGGTTCCGGCAGCGGACAGGTGTCCGTATCGACCACCGATGAGTTGCTGTGCGGGATGGCCGTCTGGTTGACCATCGCCACAATGGCCACCGAGAGATTTACCCGCATCGCATAGACGACGGCGAATCCCAGGAAGCCCATGAATCCGAAGATGTGACGTGTTTTGGGGCCACAGCCATGGTTCACTGCGGGGAGAAGGGGGAAAATTAGAGCTCGATTTGGAGGCGTTTCAGCGGTATCAGTTCCGGCTTCACTCAAAACCCAGTGCAGTTCTCTTCGATAAAATTCAAGGTCAGAACAAAACCCTTCTATACCATGCAAAATGATATCACTATACAGAGTACATTTCCTACAGTTCTTGTTTTTTATAATTTATATAATTTATTTATAATTATCAACAGTTTGTAGAGTATTATAAGAAACAAAAAAACTAAATATACACATTGCTACATCTTTTTAACAGCAAAAATTAGGACAATCTTTTACCCATGTTATAGATTGTTCTTTGATTTTGATAACTTTTAAACAAGTAAAAACAACATCTGTTCAGATATTAATGCAATAAAAACGTGTCGTACTATTAAATTTGAGTATACTAAGGTAACATTTCAAAATAAAAATAAAAGCCTTGCGATAAAAGTAAATTTTAGCATTCGTTTCGCATGGCAAAAGAATATACATAGGCATGAATCACTGTACCAGAGAAACTTGTGAAATGCTGTGAACTGGATAATAATCCGTGAAAATGAAAACCGGAGATTGTCTGCACAAAGAGAAAAGCTTATAGCTTAAATTTCTAAAGCTGTTTTAAGATCAAAATTAAAAGTTAACCTTTTTTGATTTTTACTTAAAAATATATTCCAAAAAAGTTACCCAAAAACAAATAATGACTAAACAGCAATATGAAATGTTAACAACCTATATTATTAAAATGAAATAAGTAAAATGGCAATCAATCAACTTTTAACATTTGAGCTCTATAACGTCATAAAAACCTAAAGATAACTACCGAAATTTGTAACAACTAGTTATGAATTCCGCCTACACAAAATTATGTAAGTTAAAAAGCTTATAAAACACAAACAGCCTTAAACATTCGGAGAAATGTATCTTTGGGGTAAGGTTGCAACGATCTATAGAATACCACCTAAGTGCGCAATGTCTGAGTTATATCTTTGACCATCTAGGTGGCTCTTATCAACTTACCCTCCGCTGCGCCGCTGGAGCGGATTAGCGGTCGTTCGCCGGAGCAGAACGCCTCCCGTTCGTCGTCCGCTTCGTCATCGGAGCGGTCCACATCGGCGGACGAGTTGGAGGAGGACGACGGCCGGCGGAACCTGGACGCAGATGTACCCTCGTAGTAGCAGGACGCGTCGCGCGATTCGTCCGTCCATTTGTGCGGTGGCATTCTGATTGGATTTGCCGATTTCTGGATATTTGGATTCCTATTGGAGTTGTTTGAGCGTTCGAAGCGTTTGGAGCGTTTGGAGCTGCAACTGCCAGCGCATTTTCTCTGCCGGAGCGGCAGTTGTTAGTTATTAGTTGTTACTTGTAGCGGAAGCGGTATTCAGGCGGAGCGGCAGCGAGAGAGAGCACTAGCGAGCGGACACCTCTCCACGTCTGCGGAAACCAGCGCAGACTGACGGACAGCGCAACAACAAACCTAAACAAAAGGCAGCGCCAGCAAACGTTGCTTCTAACCACAAGCTGGGGGGCGTAGTTAGGGGAGCCAAATGGTCGAAGGGGGATAAACAACCCACACAGAAAAACTAATGATACAGAATTAAAGATCAGCTTATGATGATACAAATTTTTAACTCAAAGGCTCTACAAGTTTGATTAAATTTTAACAAAATCCATTGGAGTAATTGTACTTTAAATAGTTGTTTTTAAGTGATAAACTATGACCCTTTGACAAGCGCTTTTTAGTTTCCCCTTTGAAGCGCCCCTGGGCTCGCTCTCTCTCTAATGCTCCAACTCTTCTTGGCGCTCTCGCTCTCTTTGGCGTGTGAAAGTAGAGCATGAATGGCAGCCAAATGAACGTGTACGTCATCCAAAGGGGATGCAAGAACCGGAGAGAGAGTTAGTTTGAGAGAGCTCCAAAGAAAAAGGGGGAGTGACAGTGAGACTAACAGCAGGGGGGCGGTGTGAAAGAAAGAGATGGCGTAGGAGAGAGCGAAGTGCAATTGTTGTAAAGTACGCCAAGTACAATATCTTTGTTTAGTTACAGTTAGTTTATTTAGTCGCACACTCACACACACCCGCATTCCAGAATATGCCCACACAATTAACTGCGAAATGGCGTATTTGCTCAATATTAACTATTTGTGAGGATATGAAAACAAAAACAAAATCCAAATTCCAGATAGTCGAAATCAAAAAGGGAGCTCGTACTAAATAAATTGACTACACTTGCAAAAGGTTGCCAACAACAATGCGAAGAGAAAGGTAAAATATTTGCCTGCAGATACATACAGCCATACACACTCAAACAGCTGTGGTCAATACATCAACACTTCAAAAAACAACTCTACGTTCACTTTAGCTTAATTTTAAACAACAAAAGAAATGAGCAAGTAACAAAAGTTCACACACATCTGAAAAATTTTCCATTTTTTGCTTGGGCTTGGGCAAGGCTGATAAGATAAAGGGTTAAATTAATCGTGAGTCGTATTAAAAAAGATATACACACACAAATGTATAAACTTTTGGTTTGATAAAAATATAAATGGAAATAATAAATTATTTTTGTTAACCAGAATTTGCTTATTTGTTATCTTTTTGAATGAATTCAGAAATAAGTGAATTTTTTCTTTTTAATTCATGGGTCTTGTTTCTCATTTTATTTGGTGTTCAAATCAAAATAAACGAAAACTTGTTTTTAGAGTCATTTGTTAAATGCTATTGCTTTGACCTCAGTTGTAGGAATGACTTTATTGCATAAGGTTACGTCAAGGAAAACGTCAGGATATTAGAATGATTTTCGTTTTGAAGCAGCATCCGCGCATGCCCCAAAATCGCCTGTTGCATCCACAAAATCTTAGACCTACCCGAAATTCCACCAAATGCAGAACAATACTCGAGTAGTTTTTCAGTGGTAAATTATTGGCTGAGTATAAAAAACATTTATGGCTTATTGGACTCTTAACAGTTCAGTTGAAATATTATAGTACAACTTTTAGTTGGTAAAATGCCTTATGGGCGGACAAATTAAATTCAATTGTGAATAATTCCAACTGAAATGTAAAATCCGTTGGATACAAGTTAAATGCTTAAGAGAGGTATTTAAAATATTGCTGATAGAGCACCTGGTTATGTTTTCTCGTGAACTCCATATTCCTGATCTCCATTATTAGTTGGCAAAGATGGTGCCCACGGGAAACACGACGATCCTCCTTTGACCACCAACCACCACGGATTCGTAATGGTAGTTCTTTGCCAGGATAACATCGTTGCGATTTCCATCGAAGGCTTCTTTAATGGGACTAAAGTCCGGATTGAAGCAGTTGAAGGCGAATATGTAGAATGGCAGGCGAGGAATCAGTTCGTAGGCGCAGGCCAATTTCTCGTTCCACACGCTCACTTGGCTGAAAGGCAGCGGATCCCTTTTGGCCAACTCGCCGGCCTCCTTGGCAGTACGGAAGGTGTGAAGAGTCACCACTCCAGTGGCTCCGGTTCCCAGGTAGCTGTGCACAGAATCGTAGACCAGAACTGGCGACTCTCCAGCCTTGATTCCTTCGCCCTTCACCACCTTCAACTTCAGCTGATCGATCTTGGCCAGCGTGCTGATGAAAGTGGGGTTCTTGGCCACCTGTTCGGCCAGCGGACGAAGATCCTGAGCCACCAGTCCCACAAACTGATCGGCTATGCTCTCCTGGAGCACCAAAGTAGCCACAGATCTTTGAGCAAAGGGATTCTGCAGGGATTCCAATAACTGCTGGCGAGCCGAGTGCAGATCACCGTCCTCGAAAACGATCATCAGTTGGGGCCACCGCCATTGCGGATTACTTGGGATCACCTCAGTCTGTGAACAAAATTGTCGTATTAGAATTACATATTCATTGGGTTCATTTAATCCAGTTTTGTGGTTTCAAAAATATTATAGACAAGGTAGTTAAGACTTGAACCTTTTATGTACCTAGTTGAGGCACTTAGTTTTTAGGTACAAAGAAAGTACATTTCGCAACACTGATATTGTAAAGATGTACAAATGCACTTTGTATGGTTAAAGATGACTGTTTCTACTCCAAACTAGCAACAACTCATGAAAACTATAACAATGACCACATTTAGAGAAGCATCTTTCTCCGTGTGGGATTGTAATCAAGGTTATGTCTGAATTTGGGGGTCAGCCAACCGAAGCTTACCTTCGATTGCGCCTCCTTCGAAGTCGCTCCCTGCAGTTGGTGGACCATGTCGCTGGTGATCTTTGTGACCTGGTTGTTGCACTGCTCGGATCTGCTGGAATTGCTGGCCATTCTCTGCTCCCGGTTTCCTTCGATCGAAATGTTAAAACCAACACCCAAATCGGCCGATCAGCTGCGTTATCAGCGGCTCACGCACACACACACAGTCAAGATCACTGATAACTGGAAATACCATAATTTGGTAGTTTTGGTATTTATCTCGATCTTGGTTTTTTGCGACAAGGTTTCCAATTTTTAAAAAGCTATAAACATCAATAAAATTGGATTTGGATATTGTATTACCTTTTACAAATGTAATACAATATTTTAAAAGTTGCCAAAAAAGCTTAAAATAAACAATTAAATATATTTTAATTCTTAACCTACACCATTAATGAATGGAATTTTAAATAAAAAATATTAAGCCTGATCTTTGTAAGCTATTAAATAAAAATAAAGAAAGAGAATAGAGAAGAGAATTTTGGAATAGATGTTTAACAGCAATTTATTTAATATTTAATTTAAGTAAGAAAATATCGTACGAACATAAACAAAAAGCCAAAGCAAGTAGCATTCAGAAGCATTTAAAAAGGTACAGACGGTCACACAAAAGTTTTCCTTGAAACTAGAGTTTTAAAGGATCAATTTCGGTAAACCTATATGTTTTTAATAATTTGAAATAACAGGGAAAACCATTTAATTCTGAATGTTGTGTTCAATAATTTAGGATTACAAAACAGTTTGAGATTGAATACTTTGTAGCCGAGGTGCGAACCAATCATTTGCCAGGTGAATGAAAAAAAGGGGATTATTTAGTAAGTAAAAGTGATTTCCCGTAAGGCATTTTGGGGACAGCCCCACAATCATCTGGTAACACCGAATTGCGACAACTGGATATTTTTTAAATTCCAATCGGTCGTGCTGCTGCGCTGGTGGCTCTAAACGAGAAATACACATATATTTTTTTTGTTAGCGCCTTGCTGATAATTGTTGCTGCGCAACTGTGACAACTAATTTGATGCCCTCCATTGTTAACACGCCCCCCGCAAAGCAGTGATTGCAAAATAATCGTAATCGAAAGAGGAGTGAGAAGAGGAGGGAAGTCCAACAAGTGCGCTTACACACACAGTCGCATCGAAAGAATCGCGAGTGTTTTTTTTTGCACCAATTGAAAGTGAATTGCAAGTGAAAATAGACTCAACGAACGGGCAAACAACAAAAAGTGGAACAATTTCAGCAAATTGTTGCACACGAAAATAACAAACAGCTGTCTGCCTGTTTGTTTGTTTTTGTTGCCGCCGCTGCGTGGGAGAGCAAGAGGAGGGAGAGAGCGGTAGCCGCTGCATCTGCAACATCTGCTGAGAGTGAAAGCGAGCAAGAGACAGCGACATCATGACCGACCTCAACGAATTAATGGGTTCCCCGTTTGTGCGTGTGAAGGTAAGCAAGCAGTATGTCGTTGCGGGAGATGCCGTTGCATCAGCACTCCAGCATCCAGCAAGCAGTGCAACCCCCCACAAAGCAAAGTGCCCGCATATGAATGCATGTACAGCTACGGTCAAAATAATAGCAGTGGGCGTATGACACAAATTCATTTTTGTCTGAATGTTTTTGAAAACAGATAAGAAAACATTTTTTGCGGCGGGCTAACATTTACATATGTAGGATTTGAAAATTGACAGACAGTTGTACAGCTGCGGCCAACGCACTAGCAGTGGGCGTACTTTTTTATAGATATTTTCTTTGGTAGAAAAAATAAGCATTTAAAAAAGATGAACTATTTGCACAACTGCGGTTGAATGAGAAATAATTTGTTTGGGTTCACAAAAAGGCAAATAAAATAAAAATGTGTTATGTATATACAAATGCGCGAATTTCTTGGGACAGGAAAAAGCGTATTAATTATAAGAAAAGACGAACATCATCATACAAAATAATGCAATAAAAAGTATATATATTTTTAAATGCAGATCGGATGGGAATAATAGCAGTGGGCGTTTGACAAGCCATTCAGCAAAATATTTATTTTGGGGAAAAAAACTGGCACAAAGAGAAGCCACAACTTTGTTTTTTATTTTAATATTAAAAAAAAAAACCATGCTACAAAAAGTATATTATGAGTGCAATATTTTTGTAGTTGTCATAATCATAAAAATTTGTTCATAATTTTTTTTCTGAATGCTAGTTTTGAGAGATATAAGCTCCCGGCCTTTAAGACCACAGATAAAACCATTTCAACAAACAAAAATATAAGGAAGAAGAAAGATAATACAAAACCACAACAGAACCACTTTTTAGAATTTTGAATATGAATTTTGAATATGATAATATTTTTAGATATATTTTCGTATTATGGAAGAAAACCAAAAGTGTTGTTGAAAACACAATGCTATTATCGCCACCGCGGCTGTTCGCATTCGACTCTCACTTGTTGGGCCTCCATGGGTTAATGGCCAGTCGCCGGGGGGCGGGTGATTAGCACCCCAAGTTAACCGCAACTGACAGCCGATACGAATGCGGACTGCAATTGGCAACTCCGGTCGCCGGATTCGTGGGGCTTCACTTGGCACTAAACCGCTTATGATTATGCTTTTGCGCTAACCAGATAGCCACATAACCATATAGCCATCTATAACCATATTGCTATGTAGCTATATAGCTATATATATATTGATATGATACATATGTATGTTTGAATTTTCCCATCCTATTTTCACAGCTGGTGGCCTTTGTGCACTTCTTCTTCATCTCGAATGCGATGCTGGGGAGCTGGGGCCACGGGGCGTATGAGTTCTACAACTTTCTGTTCCTGATCGCCATGTTTTGGACGATGCACAGCAAGGACTCCATCGAGGCGGTTCAATCGGTAAGTGGGGAGTGGGGAGTCTTTACTCTCATTGATTCACTTTTTGATTTCCACAATTGAGTCGGCTGTTAAATTAATTCGTTTTATTGTTTGAGCATACCCTGCAATTGGGTAATTTGAACTGAACGTTTGACTATTTTTAATATTTGTTTAACCTTATCATTCCCGGAAAACAGATAAGTTTTGAGTAAATGCTTAATTTTGTCTTTATAATTTTGCAACATATTTTTTTTTATAATTAATATACTATAATTACAAACTGTTTGGTTACCTATTAAGATAACTAATTAAAAGTGCTTAGGTTTGCTAATCAGTTTTAAGAAGCGTATGGTGATAAGAAAGATTGAGATGATTATAATAATTTTTTGTAAGGTTACAAAAGGTACCTACCATTTACTAAACCTTTGCAAGTCTATATATTGAATAATGAGAATGAAAAGACTGCAGTCCAATTGCAGGCGCCTTATAGACTTTGATTTCTGAATCGGCTTTCCATTCACTGGCTTTTGTGACTCATTTCTGTATTGTTGAGCACTTTGTTGGGCTGATAAGGGCGCCATAAAGTGTTCGAGTGTGCGCTCATTCAATTAATTCAAAATGTTCGACTGGAACTTCCCTTTCTGCGCTTAAGTTTTAATCAAATTCCAGACGACTCGCACTGATATCACCTCGAAATTCGCTAAATCGGCTAAACCGGTTGTCTGAAAAAGCGTCAATCGGCAATTAGCATACACATACAAAATATAAATAACAAATGTTCTCACTAAAATAGTTTCGACGATCAGCAGGTGCCGGCGAGAAAATCGAGATTAGAACAATGAATGCTGTGATTGATTGCGATGGTGATGCACTTACTAAATTTATTACGATTAATCATGGCAGATTATTTTAGGAAATTCAATTATTTTGTTTGCAAAGGAATTATGCAAGGCAGTTGTTGGCTGATTAAATAATTTGAATTTACGAGTATAAATAAGAATTGTTTCGAAGATGAAATAATAAATTACTTATTTCAATATTTTTTTGGTTTGTTTTAAAAATACACATTAAAAATATTTATTAAATAACAGAGTGCTTTAAATTTTTTTGATGGAATGCAAAGCTTGTCACAAATAAAAGTCACGGAAATAAAGAATAATGACTGATAAAAATATTTCTATACCACCAGAAAATTATTACAAGGGCAGCAAAGCTAAGATTAACCAAAACATATGAACTAAAAAGATAAAGATACATCTTAAATATAAAACGCGTTATACGATAAGATAAACCTTTTGGGTTATCCAAGTAAAAAGTTTTTGTTGTTCGTGAATGTGATTTACCACTGGGATTTAGGCATATATAGTATAGATCTTACTCACTAGTATAGAAGCTATATCTTTCGAAGGGAAAACTCTGGTTCTGTTTTGGTTGAGGCCAAAAGTTGCGGCACAGTTATGGCCAATCAATTTGCTCGCTTATGGGTTAACCGAGCCATAACTGGTTCCCCGCGGCCCGATCTTTAATCTCTAATGTTCTGCTCCACCCCCGAGTGGCTTTAACCCGTCAAGTGGCTTGGCCAAAATAGTAAAAAAAAAAAACAAAACACAAAACGCAACCAAAATTTCAATCTGAACGCGTGGAGGTATGCTAATGAAAGTTGATTTAAGTCGAGGGTACACAGCAAGAAAAAAATTAACATTTACAAACATGCAATTTTTTCCTTTTTAAAGTACAACTTTATACAAATAAAACAAATAAGGAAAATTGTTAAAAACCGAATTATTATCTTGAAAAGAAATACAAAATGTAATATTCATATTTTTATTTTTTTGTAACTTATACAAGTCTTGGAGATTTTAATAGCTCTTATTTTATTGTTTGAAGTTATTATTGAAGTTAATCAGTATCTAAATCCGATAAATAGTCTTTTATAGAATGGTTGTTTTAACCTGTGAAATAAGTACAACTTTTTAATGAGACTATAAATTAAATGTATTGTTTTCCCAAAGTTTCCTCAGTGTGTTTAAATATTTTCACATAGAAGTCCTTCTTGTGGGCGATTGCGTGTGAAGTTGGCGATATGCGTGTATTAATAGATGAGCTAGCCGTAAGTAAAGACGGTAAATGGCTCAACTTTGACCTTAGGCCGACCGAATACTGACCACCTCCCACGAAAAGTCCAACACTTCATCGTCCCACTGCCCGAAAAAAAAAATACGGAGGACTTTCAAGAAAAAACAGGCACGCGATTGCCATTTTGGGTCACCTGCCGTATAAATCGGGCATTACAATTCCATTTTCGAGGCTTCCAGCCAACGAGGACTTTGTTGTTTTGTTTGCTTCCTCGAAAGCCATTAGCAACGCCTCTTAATCAACTCAACTCGAGGGAATTCAACTCAAGTGAACCCAACTGGATGTGAAATCCTGGCCAGCCAGACGGCATTTCACTTCTTTTTCACCCTCGCTGTCCACCAACTGTAAACTAAAAATCAATGAACATAATTATTTAATTTCAAGTATGTAAATTGTTCTTTCAAACTTTGGAACTTGCAACTTGGAGCCTTCTGAAGAATGATACTTGGGCATTTCCCCAAGCAAAGTGGGTGAAGGATTTTTGTCTACAAGGTTCTGCCTGCTGGGAATTTTAATTCTAACATATGTTGTCCGTTGAGGCCAACCCTCGTTTTTTGTTATCACAAATCGGACACGTGTATCTGTATCTGGTGCAAAAAAACAAAGCTTTGTGGTTAGTCATGTTAAGTAATATTTAGTTCTTGAAATTTAGTTAAACAAAAGGAAAATGTTCGTTAGTAAAATCTTCAAACTCACAAAAATATTTAAATATTTTTATAAACACAAAGACTAGAAATAAGAATGTTATTATATTGATTCATAACAAGATTAAGTATTTAAATCTTTATTTTAATTTGAAAAACCTTTGAATCATTTTTTTTTTTTTTTTTTTAATTTTCTTAACACAAATGAATTTTATTTGTTGCCTTTTTTGTTGATCCAAACAATTTTTATTATTGTTTACCATAGCTTTATTTCAACGAATTTCTTATTAATTATATTTTAGTCAATTGGTTTGTCAACAGACGGTTTTTCCTTCAGAGGTTTTCTTTGAGCCTAAAAGTCCACTATGAAAAATGTTGTGCTTTCTCAAGACAAGTTAAAGCATCGAATAAAAACAACCAAAATAGTTCCCATTTACAATCAAGTAGACTTCTTAAATGCATGTTTAGTTGATAAATCAGCTCAATCCTTGTTGGCCGGCCCACCACTTCCCCATCATACTCATGTTCCGCATCTCGTATCTTTGCAGGCGCTCGTCATCAACGCTTCTAGCATTTTCTTTGATATAGTCAGCATCGCTCTGCATTATGGCATCATGAGTAAGTCATCCATCGCGTATTGCTACTGAATGCGATTAAAAACATCGAATGAGATTCCTGAGGACGTGATACTAATGAACCTTTTAATGCACTTTCTCTTCAGATGGCTGGGCCGTGGCATTTAGCATTATCAACTTGATCCTGCGGCCGGTGAGCGTGGCCCTGCTCTACCGGGAGTTCAACACCCGCGGCGGCACTTTGCAGACAGGATCGGTCTTCCCAACAAGTCAGCAGAGGAGCTACCAGGACATCGATCGACCGACGCAGCCAACACCGACCAATTCGCAGCCCGGTCCGAATGTGGCCAGCATCTTCTAGGCTCCCCAGGCTCTCCACAATGTCCTTCCTTCCAATTGCCCCACAGCAGGATAATCCGCAGCAGGATATCCGGACATCACAACGAAACCATTAGACAGCGGATCGATCAAGCAGAGGATCCCCCAAAATGGAACAGCAAAGACGACCCTTTTAGAAAGACTCCACTAGTCAGTGTGTTGCTGCCTGCTAAAAATCTAAAATCTAAAACCTAAAACTAAAAACTAAAAACAAAATTCCCCGTGAAAGCGAATCTAAATTTTACATGTATACATAAATCTAAAGTGTGTGTTTTTTTGGCCCATTTTTTTTTCTCGAACGTTGTTTGTTAGTGCATTATTGTGAGAAAGAGAAAGACAACGATTAAGATTAAGCATTGTAGTTAAATATGAACTTAAATCGGAACTTCAAAAAAAAAAAAAGAAAAGAAAACTGTGTGCGTGTTTTCCTTGTCCCATATATACAAACGTTTTTTTTTACCTTGTTAACGAATAAAGACGGCTAATCAAGTAAATGATACATATATATATATATTTATATTTATATTCGTATTTGTATAACAAAGATTGCAATTCTACTTTATACTTATCCTAGATAACGGTAACGTTAACGCTAATTGTAAACTGTAAACTGTAAACCCAACAGAATATTCGACAAAAATAAAAAGCGGGCGTCATCGTTTGTAAAACAATAAATAGAGCGACTCTACGACTCTGAAACTCTTCGCTTCTCCACCTCCTGTACATTGAAATGAAACCCCCCTCTCGAATGTCTGATACCCTGGAATGCCCAGAACTCCTAGAATCCCTCCTTGGCCGCTCGGAACTTGTACTGGTTGCTCCGTCCATCCAAACAGGGCACTTGCACCAGGTTGAAGTAGATGGAGCCCATCAGCTGCGAGGCCGAGGTGTTGGTCTTCTTCAGGCACGAGAACAGCATGTCGTCGCAGATGCAGTGCGATCTGGGGGATATAGACGGAATGGATTATTCGAAATGAGTGATAGGAACTTGAATAATTAGGTTCCACTCGTTAAAAGTAACAGTTTAACAATCAGAAAGATATTTATGCTTTTCTAAGTTGTAGGTGGAAAAATTAGATTCGTAATTATAATTTTGGGTTGAGTTAAGATCTTAAAGATATATTCTTGTATATTTACTGATTCAATGTTTTTTATATAATTTAATTTAAAAGGAGATATATTTTTTATTTTGTAAATTTAATATGAAGTATTTCAACAAATTTTAGGTGTAATGAATTTTGAATACTTTAAATTCTTTCTAGTTGTTGGAAATGGATTAGTTATTATTGAATATTTTTGGATAATAATTTACAAAATGTAGAGCATAATCTTTGAGCAATTAAGCAACTAAGCAAATTATAGGTAGTAGTTATTTCTTTTAAGCAAAACTCACTTTGTGTAGAGGGAGTCGTTCATCAACTCGTATTTGTTCTGATAGGCCCGGATTTTCACAGGACACAGATCGTGTTGCCGACAGCAGCGATCCATGGGCATCTCACTGCCGAGATCACTGTACGTGTCTGCAATGTCGCCAGTGCCACACCACTTTGTGCCTGATTAAATCATTCAATTACACAATAATTAATAAACAAAAGAACCAATTAAAAGTGGAAAACTCACCTGGAATAATGCCACTAAGTAAAGAGAAGGGACTGCGCGGAAAGATGTTGGTGGCCAGCTTAAGGGCCACTCCATCATTTGCTCCTCCCGTCGAGGATGGGTCCCCATCTCCACCACCACTGCTCCGCTCACCTCCCTCCGATTTAATTTTGTGCCGCGAGGCGTAGGTCATCTTGTCCACGTGCTCACACTGATCCATCAGCTTCAGCATTTCGTCGAATTTGATCTCCAGGGGGCGATTGTAATGAGACAGACCCTCCAGCAACATCTTGCCTTCCTTGTCGTTGCTACAGATTCGGGAGAGAGAAAGAAAGGGACAGCTGTAGTAGTAGTTTCAGGCCCTTCTACGCGATTCTCACATTTGTTAGCTAAGAGCACGCTATTTTGCTTTATAAGTTTTAGTATTTTGTAATATTTTAATAATTTCCCTTTTTCAAACCTTTTTTATAGTTTTATATATTTTTTCACAGTCATTTTTACATTCAAACGTATTTGATTTTTATAAACTTATCATGTGCCTAATTAAACATTCAGTGCATATCCAATGTATATCTGATCAGCTGTCCACGTAAATTACTCAAAAACTACTACCGGAAAACCTTGATTTATTCAAAAACGAAGTGTACAATATAGGTACAGGAAATTTGATTATAAATATTAGACGTGACATATGAGCTCCCACATTAGATAATATTTTTATCAATATAATTTTGCAAATTTCTTTAACATTTAGCTGCTTTTACCTTTAAACCTTAATATTTAATATTGAGTGAATTTCTAGTTTTACTTTCACTTACTAGATCTCGATTAGTTCGCAGCCAAGCAGCAGCTTCTGGGGTCCCAACTCCGTTACGGCTATGGTCAGATCGTGATAGTATATCATAATGAGTGAATCATTGCTCACACGCTTCCCGCTGCAGAGAAAGAAATTGCACGGAAAGAAAAAGTTGCACATATTTTAAATAAATTTCAACAAATAAATTAATATATTCTTATAAAAGAAGTATAGAACTTAACCTCTGTTTATTAGTATGAACATATCACAATTAATAGAAATGTATTGCTATCTATTCAACTTGCTTGTTCAGTTTTTAAATCAAACAATTTTTTTCTATTTCGAGGGTTTTGAGTGAGAGCTCCCTGCAATTATTATGGGCACATGGCCAGGCGACCGACCGTGCGGATACGTGACGTCCATGGCAATGGACTTTGCGTACGAGTGAAACCCTCTAGACAATCGTTTCTTGACTACTAATATTCAATTCCAGCCGGATGGATCGCCAGTCACACGTACTTACATGCGTCTTCATCTGGCTGGATAATTTAGATCCAATTAGTGAGCCTTTCTATGCGCTTCTCATATTTATTAGCTAAGGAAGGGCAAGGAAATTCAATTTTAACTTAAGTTATAAATACCCTAGGAGATTTTATAAAGATCAGACGATAAGAGAGGTAATATAGTCATAAAATGATAACTACTTTAATTGGTTGAGAAAGAAGTAATCAATATACATATCAATTTACAATCAATATTGCTATAACTATTTGATAAAATATAATTGTTTTACATTGACGGATATTAGTTTTATTTTATAGATGGCATATAAATAATAAGAAAATCGATATGTATTATTTTAAATAATTTAGTTCGATATATAAACAGTAATTAAAAGCTGATCAACCATGGGCAAAAACATATCAACGAAATACGTGTGATTGTATTTAGTCTTTTAGGTTACAGTTTTATCTATATTTAATTTACTTAATGCAGAGGTAGCTAGCATACTTTTCCCTTCGTAAAGACTTTTCTCAATGCTGTCTAAACAATATAAAATTGTCATTTAAATCGTGACTCACCTGTAGGTCTTCATTTGGCGCGCGCTGCGCTGCTCGATGATCTGCTGGGTGAACGACTGGAAGGAGGGGAACCCCTGGAGGCCCTGCGGCAAGCTGAAGGAGAGTGTCGGCTTGGCCACCGCCTCCGAGGTCAGGTAGCCCAGGAGGAGGCAAAAGAGCAGCGAGGCCAGCAGCTGGAGGCGCCGCTTCAGCCAGAGGTTGTAGGGCATCTTGGCGAGATTGGCGAGATGGTTTCGTTCTCGGAATGGAGGAGCTGCCCCTAAGGCATCGCCGGCTGCACTGAGCCGCTTCCCAAATGCGGGCAACAAACAAAAAAAAACAGCACTCACTTAAATCAACGGACAACCTGCTTTTCCCAGTGAGCGTCCTCTATTGTTATTGTTCTTTAATTTCTCAGCTGGAGAAGTTCGCGTTGGTCCGAGAATTCCGAGAAGTCCGAGAAGTCCTCGAAGGCTTTGCTGTTTGCCGAAGGAAAGGGTTTTAGTGTTTAGGGTCAAGGGTTCGCTATCCTGGGCTGCGTGTCAAAAGCCGAAGGCGTCTCCAAACGCTTCTGAATAATTCACTCGCCCACTCGCCACACGGAAAAGTCAATGGAACATTTGTTATGTCTTCTCATCGTTTAGTAAGTCAAGAAAAATAGTGTTTAGCCAGTCAAGTTACTTATGTGAATATAACTTTTTGTACACCAAAAAAAATCTAAGATTCCAGGCTGCCTTGAAAATATTCTTCAAAGTTTTATTTTTTTAAAAAGCCAATAAAAATCGGATTTACATAAAGGGTAAAGAAATCATTTTTAAATTTAAGTTGTTAAGTCGAAAATAATTTTTTGCAAGCCAGAAACTTCTTAGATAAAATCATAAAATAATACAAAGTTGAGTAAAAATATACTCGTGTAATTGTATAAAATAATTTTGATATTATCTTACTATTCTTAATCAAAAACTCAATTAAATTTGTTTAAATAGTAAATAAAACAAATGGTATGTGATTGCTTTAAATGGATATTTTTATGTGCCTGGCTATTTTAAAGATTATTTTCCCTGTGTAAAAGCCAGGGGCTCGTTCGTCAGTTGGGCAATTTCCCAGCTTTGCGGGCGGAACAATTGTGGCAGGTGCCAAAAAGCGCGACTCAGGTGACCCCGTTCCCAGTCGCAGTAAGAGGATCGGCCCAAAACAATAGCTCCTCACCACACACACTTCTATACTCCTATTCAGATATGTATATATCCACATAGTTATTGCATCAGGCCGAGCCCTGCTGGCTAAGAATCGCGGGCACGCCCTGCCATTAGTTGGCAAACCAACAGGGCGTATACGTATATACGTGCAACAGCCACACATTACGTATACGCAGCGTTGATGGCCAGACAATGGTCTATCATTTTCATTGTGGCAACACGGTTTGTTGGCCGGGCCATTCGGATTGACTAATATGTTGCCAATTACTCGACTCTAGACAAATGGACAGGTGGGCATACAGATTGCAACTAATCGAGTTCGCCAGCGAGGTTGCCTTGCATATTCGCCCATTTGTATTCAATTAAAATGGGGCTCTATCAAATTAAATTGCGAGTCCGAAAACGAATGGCATATTCAATTTGGCTTAGTCAATTGAACTATAAAAGAGGTTCTATATTTATAGTTTATGTGATTAGAAACGGTTTAGTAAAATGTAGGTTGAATATAAATATGGTTTATTATAATCTCACGGTGAAATTATTTAAAGGCAAATGTTGAAATTGGTTTAAAACAGAGATTAAGTTTTCTGTGATAAGTTACGATAAGTTAACGGTTACTTTTCAAAATAGCATACAGTAGTTTTCAAATTAAATTGACTTTACTAAATGTGAGCATTTTATAATATCATTTTTATCACAATGTAAAATGTTTTGAAGTAAAGTGTTGAAACTGATATATAAAAAACTTGAATACCTAATTTTTAATCCATGTTTATATAACTTGGTGTTAAACTATTTTAAGATCAACGTAGAAAGTTTATAAAAAACGTGATCAAGCATTTTAAGTATGAGTAGTGCCAACATTGTTTTAAAAATTAATATTATATGCAAAAACTTTCTACAACAGTTAAATAATGGTTGCAATTGCATAAAACAAATCAACCGAAAACAAAACTTTCTACAAACAGTTTAATAATAGTGGTGTACGCAATATTTTTTCTAAAATCGTGTTAAAATAATTTCCAATCCATTTATAAATTAAGCATATATTTATATATTATTAAGGATAATATGTTCTAATATTTTTATATAAATTTTGAGCCATAGGAAATTTATACACCATTTTCCTTTAGCCTAAGTAGGGAATCTATTTCAGAGCTATCAGATAAGCTTGCAACCAACCAGCAATTTCCAATTGGTAAGTGATTGAAAGCCTTTGGCAATCTCGGCGCCAACTGACCTCTTGCCATTTGGCGGAAGGTCACGGGCCAAGTGTTCCTTGACCTTAGCGTGAATCGGCATTTTGGCCACTTTGAAACGAGACGTTGAACCAGCAGTGGAGAGGTACCTGTGAATCGCCTCCCCACCACTGAAAAAAGCACCAAATGAATTTGGAAATGGCCTGAACACACGCACCACACAAAACCCGCTAATAAAGCTGCCAAAATGTCCCGCATTTAACAAATAGCATATATATACACACCATATAATATAACACCTTTTCCCTGTCCTCTACTTGCGTTCCATTCATTTATTGTTATTACTATTATTGTGTGTATTTTTTTTGGCTTTTTATTTCTCCCTGTCATCGCATAAACATATATTTTGCTGTTTTGTTTTGAAACCACGAAAGTTTACGCAAGTTTTTGGTCAAGAGCGTAAAGAAATGAGGGGGAAAAGGGAGAAGAGGGGGAGGGGGAGGGGTTTTGAAGAGTTGGCCCTGTAGGTGAGCAAAGTGAAAGTGATTCCACTGGGGAACCGAACTTCGTGCGATTTCAATGGCCAACATGCATATAGCCAATAAATGAGATGACGAAGCCGGCCAAAAAAATGTGGCGTGTGTGTGTGGCAATGGACCTTGCGTGAAACTATGACTCCACCCACTCCACTTCACCTTCCCTCTCCCTCCGCCTTACCCCCTGCCACGCCCACCTCCCCTGGGATTGCCAGAAAACGAGGCTTGAATACACAGAAAATAAGTTTACCTCTTAAACTTTCGTATTGCAAATGAAATAAAGGTATTTAAACATTTATTATGAAAGTAAGTTATATTTAACTTTACATTTATTGTAGTTTATATTTCATATATATTTTTTATATTTATTAACTCTTAAATAAAGAGCTATATGAAAAGTAAATCAAGGAATTAAGCAAAATTTATATACAAATAAACATATAATATTAAGTAAGGACCTTTCCTAATTCTTACTCTTTCATAATCATTTAAGTACTTTATATTATTATAATATATTTTTTCTGGTGTATATATATGAAATATCTGTAAGTTATGTGTGTCAAGTGGGGCAGTTGACGTCCGATCACCGGTTAGTTCAATGCTAAATGAAAATGCAAATAGCCAAGACAGAAATACGGTCAAAGCGAGTTGACAGCGGAAAAATCAGAGGTCCAGCCAAAGTTGAAATTGGTCGCAGAGCAATTGTGAAATTACCAGTTCCGGAATCACTTAAACTTCAATGGGTTTTATTTCATTTGTAGTTCACTATAAAACAACGAAGTCTTTCTAATATTCCAACAAGTTTCTTTGACTGAGTTTAAAGCTTCAATTAGTCTGCATTTATATTCTGTTTTTGTTTCTGTTGCTTCTAAAATATAAATTAAAGCTGACTTGGACCTTTGCTTGGGTCAGATTGTAAGTACCTTTTAAGCAATTAAGAATTGTAGAACAAATTACTTATTAAGACAACTTTTAGGAGCTGTACGAAAAAAACAAAAAAAAAACCTTGGAAGCAAAAATTCAGGTATTATTTACCTTAAAATAAATTGACTAAAAATTTAAAAGAAGAATCAGGAATTAAAACTATTTAAACAAACGCTGCACAAAAATATATCACGAGGTGTTAATTATACTGTTTTGTTCTGTTTTTAATCTTGAGTTTCGTTTCACTTAAGTCTTTTCTTAGTCACAATAAAAATAGTTTATGAATCATATTAAGTTTAAAGCATGTTTCTAGGTTGTCGTTTCCTTTGGGTAAAAAATAATGGATTTTATATTAATCATAGAGATTTTGTTCTTTTTCTATGTACACCTAAATACAAAATAATAGAGCAGAAGTTGCAAAACAATTTAAATATGCATTCCAACTCTGAACATACTCAATTTTTCTATCTAATTCCTTGTTTCCCATTTACAGCAATAATTCAACAAAAAGCTATTCAGCTGCTTTAATTTTTCGAACAGAATCAGTTAGCACATGAAGCATAGGCAACCCAATAAAAAGTGTCCGCTCATCGGGAACTGATTCGAAGTTGGAAGCCCAGTTAGTAGACGGAAATAAAAAAAAGCAATCAAATCGAAATCAAATAATAAATGGAGTGGAATTGCCCTCGAAATTTCTAACAGTTTTCATCGCAGATAGCGACTAATGGAAATGGGAATGGGAGTCGCGATGCTGACAACGATAATGGCACAGTCGACGAAAAGATGATCATCATAATGAAAGCGCTGGGTTTCGGTTTAATTTCCTCTGAATTTCTGTATTTCTCTACTTTTTTCCCCTCCAGTTCGTGATGAATGATCTGAATGTCTTTGGTGATCGTCTTGAATGCGCAGCTCTTGCATTTCAGATAGTTTTTTCAACGGAAAGACTTCCGGCAGAGGAGCTCGGCTAAGACACACATTTTACCGGCCAAACGAAACTTGGACAACTTGAACTTGGTCTTCTTACTATTTTTTTGTTTTTGCCAAACACTTTAAATGCCAGCGAGAGTTGTGGCCGAGTTCAAAAGTGCAAAAGAGAAACAGAAACGCGGCATCAGCTGCTCGCGAACCTTGGCATAGGTCAGTGAAGCGTTTTATGGCCAAAACCCATCCCCCGACGCCATTTATTTTGTTTTTTTTAAATACCCTCAGAGGGGGTATATCACCAACAATTTAAGAAAACACTTGATTCATTTAAAATAATTATTTCCGTGTATTGGAAACTAAAACGAACGAGCAAAATTTCTACCTCAACCAAAAAGCCAGCAGCTATTATTAAAAATTCAATTTGAAATGAATTTGAAAAAACTCGAAATCTAAATGAATATAAATATAATACAATATAAATATGGCATTACTATAATTAATTTTTAACAAACAATTTCGTTGAAAGTTTTACAACAAAAATAAGTGGTCATCGTAAAGTTATTTTCTTTTATAATAAAAGATAAAGCTTAATTTTAGTATTGGCAAATATATTTTATAATTAAACACAACAAAAATTAAACAGGAAAGTTTTCAAACTTAAAAATGCTTTGCGTTGCTAATACAATTATATTTATTTTAAGGCCTCGTTAAAAGTTTGAAGAAAGGCATTTAAAAACCAATTAAAAATTGGTATTTAGCTTGGCATTCAGTGTATTTGAGGCATCGGTTTTCTCGATTTGCCGCGATTTTCCCGCCGCAGAGGCGGAGGGCGAGTGCAGTAAAAGTGGCCGCGGCTGCAGATGAGCCACAAACGCCGACGAGCAAAACAAAGGCAAACAGAGCCAGCGGCTAAATACAGAAAATAAAAAGAGCCAACAGGTTTCCAGCTGTTCGGTTGGATCTTCGGATCCGCGGATCTGCCTTAACTTTCACATTGGG